TGATCATTTCATTTTAACTGCCTGAATGCCTCATTTTCTTCTCTTTAACTTCTTTTTTGGGAGGCAGTGGGAGGGGGAAGGCCAGGGATTGAACTCAGGGGCACTCAACCACTGAGCCACATCCCAGCCCTATTTTATATTTTATTTAGAGATAGAGTCTCACTGAGGTGCTTAGAGCCTCGCCATTGCTGAGGCTGAGGCTGGCTTTAAACTTGCAATCCTCCTGCCTCAGCCTCCTGAGCCCACTCTGTCCTTTAACTTCTTACTCAAAGACTTCCCAAAGCCATTCCTAAACATTTTCTCCAGAGGAGACTCCTGGAATTTTTATAATTTTGTTTGTTACAACTTCAAGGATTTTTTTAAACTTTTTTTTTGTGTGTGTACTTAAAATTATATTTTCTATTGTATTATAATTTTCTCTCCCTGTCCCCTTCTTTTCTCTTTTTCTCCCTTGGTACTAGGAATTGAACCCAGGGGCTTTACTACTGAGAGACATCCTTTAGTTCTTTTATTTTTTATTTTTTAGGTATTTATTTTTTAGTTGTAGTTGGACACAGTACCTTTATTTTATTTATTTTTACGTGGTGCTGAGGATTGAACCCAGGGCCTTGCACCTGCTAGGCAAGCCCTCTACTGCTGAGCCATAACCCCAGCTCCAGTCCTTTTATTTTGAGACAGGGTTTTGTTAAATTGCTGAGGGTCTTGTTCAGTTGCTGAGGTGGGCTTTGAACTTTCGATCCTCCTGCCTCAGGTCCCCTGAGTTGCAGAGATTATAGGCATGCCCCTGTATTATAAATTTCTTGAAGTTATCGTGGATGTTGAGTTGAACCATGAAGGATGGTAAGAATTTGGATAGGTGGAGAAGGGAATTCTTGTCCTAAGGAGGGAAACTGTATAAACCACAGTTCTTATGATAAAAAGAACAAGATGCTAAATAGATCCTTGAAGAATATGAGTGAAATAGTGACAAAGGTGTGAAAGTAGAAAATGACTTTTTTGTTTTGATGCTGGGGATTGAGGCCAGGGGTGCTTTACCACTGAGCTACATCTCTAACCCTTTTTAAATTTTTTTATTGAGACAGCATCTTGCTAAGTTGCTTAGGGCCTTACTAAATTGCTGCAACTTCCCTTAACTGATCTGATTCACTGGGATTATAGGCCTGCACTACTGTGCCTGGCCAGCTCACTTTAATTGGGTGTAGGAAGGGCTTAATGGAGGATTGAAGGAGAGAATGCTTGTCCTACTATACCTCCCTTTTATTGTTATATTACTCCACTAAGGGAGAACAGAGCCAATATCATGATGGGATGTAAAGTGCCAGTTCTAATATACTATGATGCCATGGTATGCTTTTAAATCTGCAGAATTGAGCCATCACTAAAACCCGTTTCATCTATGAATTATTTAATTAGAGGTCAGCAAACTTTTTGTAAAGGACCAGATAGATAGTAAGTATTTGAAGTTTTGGGGCCACAGAATTCCTCTGTTGCATATTCTTATTTATTTGTTTATAGCCTTTTATAAATGTAAAAAGCATTCTTAGCTCTAGAGCCAGACAAACCTATCCATGGACTGGATTTGGTCTCCAGAATGTAGTTCAACTTCTTATTTAGTTGACTGGGGTGCTTATTTCTGAACTTAAAATTTCTAGAATTTAGACACCAAGACTAGCTTGGTGATGGTATTTTTCCATCTGTCTATATTTTCATTGTCTGCTCACAGGTTATGTTTTCTAAGGGTCAAGAAGCTAATAGTTTGATATGCGGATACTGACTCACAATGTTGTGGGGAGTGGAGGTTCACTGGATTGGAGTGGGGGTAGTAAGTGGAAGGGAGGGAGGGGGAATGGGAATGGGAAAGACAGTAGAATGAATTGGACATAATTTCCTATGTTCAAATATCAATACATGATCATGTAACCCCATATCATATGCAACCACAAAAATGGGAAGTTGTTCTCCATGTATATAGGTCAAAATACATTCTACTGTCTTATATAGCTAAAAAGGACAAATAAAAAATAAAAGAAGAAGCTCATAGTTACCGAGAATTCTTCATTCTCTTTCCTGCAATCTTGATAGTTTTGCGTTTCAGGTTGTCTTTCATTTCTAAATGCTTTGGAAACTTTCTGATGTCTGAGACTATTTTACTCCTCTTTACTAGCTGTGTACTCATTAACACATGAGGATTTTAATGGTTTTTATAAATAACATACTTTATTTGTATTCTGTTATAAATTATGAACAATTTATTACTTTTTTAATGTAGTAAAGTTCAAATATCAGACTTGAGAAAACAGCATATTATATAAACAGAGTTATTTAATCTCAGTGCTCATTGGTTTAATTGCGTTTCTGAGTTAGATTCTCCTATATGTTGTCTTGTTTTTGCTTTACATATATTCTCTGTAATCAAGTAGGTATGCCAGATTTTTCTATCAGGAGAAGTTACTCCTGTATACAGGAGTCCCCGATACACACTAACTTCAAAACTAACCCCAAATATGCACGATCGTAAATGCACATTCACACTTTTACACACATACACTTTTACATACAGGAAAACATATACACTCTTATATATACACACAATACATATACAAATAAATACCACAAACATAGATATACACATGTTCCCAATCTTGAATTGCCATGCTCAACTGCTGAAACTAGTCTTCCCATATTGTGTCCTTCCTCATTGATTATATGTATCTATATATTATATGTATCTATATTTCTATTTGATTAATCTAATACTTGTTGCTTCTCTCCTTGTTTAATGCTCTTATTGTCCTACTTATTGCATTCTGCATTTCATTTATTTTTCTATAATTTCTTGGAGTTTTACAGTTGTAAAAACTTTAATCCTTTAAGTAAGCAAATACTCCAAACTCACAAAATTTTTAAGTGAATGATCAATGCATATCATTATTATAAACACATTCTCACATTTGTAGTACATTCAAAATATGCGATATGTATTCACTATTAACACTGTGGAAAATTTTAAGCTTATTTTCAGGGGGATTAGGTAAACAAATAATCACCAATGCAAACAGGTCTTATAAATAGTCACAACTCACCTGTCAGTTGTTGGTATAAAGAGTATAAATAAATAGATGTGGTTTGCACGTGATTGGCAGTGCTTATACATTCACTGGTTACAGACACAAGCTGAATCTTGGGGAAAACACATCCGAGTGCAGAGGCATCCTTCTCTCTCTACTACTTAGCTACATCCCCCACCCAAATTTTTTTATTTATTTTCAGACAGGGTCTTGCTAAATTGCCTAGGCTGGCCTTTAATTTGGGATCCTTCTGCCTTGGCCTTCTGAGTAGCTGGGATTAATGGCATGCACCATCAAGTCCCTGTAAAACTGGAATTTTTTAAGGTTCTTGTTGCATATTGCAAAATTGCTTTCTAGAAAAATTTTAACAGTTTGTGCTGTCATGAGTAGTGTACAAAGATGCCTCTTTTATTGCATTGTTATAATAGTATATATTATAGTATCATATTACATTATCATTTGTAGCTGCCRGTATAGACTAGATTATGTTGTAGTAACAAACAATCTTGAGAAGCTCTGTGGCTTAATACAATAAAGCTTCTTTCTTGTTTATGCTGTATGTCTAACGTATATCATCAGGAGTCTCACTTCTTCAGAGCCGTTTGTTTAACCAGCCTCATCGGAAATTCCAATTCATCACTTGCATACATAATCCCTGTAGCAGAGGGTAGGTCTTCCAGCTGTGTATTGGTTCTTGAAGTTTATATCTAGAAATCTCTCATATCACCACACATTTCAGTAATTAAAGCAAGTATTTAGCTATACCTAACTTGAAAGAAGGCAGTGAAGTACAATCCTGTCATGAGTTCGGTGAAGAGAAAAATTGAAATGTATTAATGACATCTTATTTTTAAAATAACTTCATTTACATTGATGAAATTACAGATCATTTTAATTTGATTTTCTTTTTGCTAACATAGAGAAACATTTTTCATGTTTATTAGATGTTTGTTTTATTTAACTTTCCCTTTTACTTAGGCTTTATAAACATGTGCTATTGGTTTACTTTTACATTTCCAGATTTTTAAATTTTCTATTTTTTTGTGGGAATGGGCATTCAGGGTGGTAATATTATAGGGAGTGCAAACTTTTAGAAAATATTTTGTTGAAGGATTGAACTGGTAAAAGAAGTTAATTTTTTTTCTCCTTTAATATACTGTATTGCCGGGTTTCTGTTCTCGGGACTAAAAGGCTCAGGGGTCACTCCAGTTAAACTGGGCTAACTGGGCTGCACGAAATAACCACACAAGAGACACAAATACCTTTTTCTTTGGGATCACTGTGATGGCTCCTCTGACCTTAAGGGTCCGCAGAAAGAGAGAGAGAGCTCGAGAGCAYGCGCTGACCCCTTTTATTGAGGAGAAGCTATTTAAATGAGGCAAGGGGTCAGGTTTCAGGGGGCTGAGTCTATCTTCATGATGTCAGTGGACATCAGCAGGTTGACTGATACCTGGGTAGGCCACACCCAAGGGCACAGTAAGAGAAGGGGACACACACAAGGCACTTCCATGGAAGATTCTATCCTAAACAGGGTAGGGGGTTATATTACAAAGAAACAAGTGAGCATAGCTTTACCCATGGGGCTGTAGCAAGACACACGCATGCACCAACCCTCGCACCCAAGAAGGGTGCCGCATTTCTGTGACTGAGAGCCTCAGCACATAGCCGGGGAGTGTAACTCAGTCACGTGTAAGGTTGGCCTCGCACACAGTATGTTTTGATAGATTTCAAGAATCATCATTAATATTAAATAATCAAAGTCTAGCAGAAGTTGTTAATTCTCAATATTCTAAAGATTTCTAAAGAAAACTTGAACACAAAAATTTGTGAGTAAACAATCAAGTTAGTATTCTCCTATTKAAAGAATTAAATTATCCACTCAGATTTAGTTGTATTGACCATGTCTGATTTTTCCCCCCCTCTTCAATTCAGGTATCTGCCTAAACTGGAGCTGATGCTGTAGACATTTCTTTGTGGTTTCTCTAAAATCCTAAGGTGAGATATTTTATGAATACATTTGCCTTTTAAAATGTATTTTATAATAAGAAAGATGTGTTTCTGAAAAATTTAAGACAACACCAAATGTCTTTTCCTTATTTATAATAATACTACATATATAGCATGCTTTTACTTTTTGTTTGTATGACATTTGACTGAAATAAAATACTTTTTAGTGTATTTTCCCTTTATTTTTATACTAAAAAAAATGGAGTTACACTGATGTTCTCTGACATAGTTGAGAAAGATATTGGCATTATGATCTGATAGTCTTCAAGACAAATCCTTGATTAGTTAATTATAGATTAAAACTGGGAACTGCTTTAATAGACCAGTTGGTAGGAGTTTTCTCTACCTTCTTGGATTTGATTATTTCTATAATTCCCTCTGTTTGTGGGGCCTATGTAATAAAGATATATCCATTAGTATGTTAATAGTTAATTTCTATAGAAAGTTTCCCTTCCACAGAAAGCTTCTATAAATAGCATTCTGCTATAAAGGTAAGGTTATTAGCCCTGTCCCTTTTCCTACCTGTCTTAACTCGAGTCCTCTTCAGTTTTTTTTATTTTTGAAATTCTTCATTTTAAAAAATTTAAATGGGCCATTTTAAGTTTCTCTTTTGGTCTTTCCACCTGAGTCCAGCTGTTCTCTAAACTATTCTTGTCATTGTCAGCAGGGTATTTTTTTCCTAAAAGATAAATGTCAGCATAGCAGTTTAGTATTCAGAATCATTCAGTATCTCTACCTGGCTTAAAGGTAATTTACAAACTCTTTTATGGAACATTATAATTTTTTTACAATTTTCCATCCCACTACTGCCCTAGGCATGATTGTTCAATTCCTGTGACACCTTTACTGAAAAATAATTTACATACCATAAAATCACCCATTTAAAGAGTACCATTCAGTGGTTTTTATTGTATTTCAGAGATGTGCAACCAATACCACAATCTAATTTTGGAATATTTTCATCATTCTTAAAAATATTATTAGTAGTCTCTACTCACCATCCCCTACCCCCAGCCTCTGTCAGCTACTAATCTACTTACTGTCTCTATAGGTCTACCTCTTCTGGACGGTTCATGTAAGTGAAATTGTACAATTTATGGGTCTTTTGTGACTTATATCTTTCACATAACAAAACGTTTTCAAGGTTCACCCATGTTGTAGCATTTATCAGGACTCCATTACTTTTTCTTACTGAATAATATTCCATTTTCTGTGACTGGAGTTGAACTGGTAAAGAGCTAAGCTTCTAGGTGTCTGTCTGGGTAGTCAATTTTAAGAAAAGGGCCAAAATGAAAGTAACAGTTAAGTCTTTAATCATTTACTGCATTAGGATAAGAAAGAGATTAACTCTGAGAAAGTATAGGCTCCCTGAGGTTGAGGTGGTCTCACTGCTGAGGAAGCCTTCAACAAAAGGTTTTTGCAGTTTATGGATCCAGGGGAAAGGTGAAATGGTTATAAGTGGACAAGTCCAAAGTCAGCCTAGGGAAAAGTATCTTCTATATTTCCTAGCCTCTTCAAAGGGCCTGAGGAAAGGCCTCAGCCAAAGGCCATGAAGAGCTTTCTGGATGAAGTCACCTGGGCCAGGAATGCTGAAATGCTAAAATTAAGAGCATGGCGAGCTGGGGCCTGAGTCTTTATATGTTGCTACCGCTGGCTGTGTCAAGTCTGGTGGGGAGAACCCTGCTATCCCTGTGAAGCCTTTAAATTGTAATTGTTTATGGTTGGGCTGAAAAAACCATGCATAAGTATTTTTATGGCCAGGAGCCGGACTTAATACATACAGGCCATATTTCATTCATTAATTAGTGGACATTGATTTGCTTTCATTTTTTGGCAATTTATGAAAGTATGCTATGAATGTATATTTGTATGTAGTTTTTTTGTGTGGACATATTGTGCTTAATTTTTTCCTGAGGTGATAACCCTGTTTTCAGGTGTTTCCTATTTTCAACAGTGCCACAAGAAACATTCCTCTATATGACTCTTGCAGTACATGTGAAAGAGATTCCATTGGGTATATGTACCTATGAATGTAATTCCTGGGTCATAGGGTAGTAATGTTAATCTTAAAGAGAGAAAACAAACTTATTTCCAGGAGTTGTACCATTTTACCCTCATAGCTTCAATGTATAAGAAATCCTGTCATTTTATAATCCCTCCAATATGTGATATTTTTCAGACTTTTAATTTTGCTAATTGAATGATACAAAGTAGTGATCTTTAAAGATCTATAGTGATCTTTTAAGACAAACTTAAAAAAATGATGTGTAATTTCCAATTTACAATAAAATGCAAATCTTAAATATATGGTTCAGTGACTTTTGACAAATGCTTATACTCATTTAATCCACTCTCCTATAAAGCTTTAGAACATTTTATTACCTCTTAAGTTCCTTTGGACTCCTTAACATTTTTTCTTCTTACCAAAGGAAACTACTGTTCTTCTTTTGTTAACTTTTTCAGTTGGGTTGTTTACTTACTTAGAAGCATGCCTTATAGATTCTGTGTGAGTCTTGTGCCAGTACAATATTGAGTAGAAGTGGTAAGGGCAGACATCTTGGCTTGTTCCTGATTTTAGGGGATAAGTTCTCAGTTTTTCATTATGAAGCCTGGTGATATCCTCAGATTAAAGATTCTTTTATTGCTGAAAGGTGTCTTTTTTCCCCTCACATATAAAAATAATGTTGAATTCTAAGTGTGGTGTTAAGGATAATTTTTAGAAGACGGTATGATCATGATTCTCCTATGGATAGGAAATGAACACTTGTCAACTATTTTATTTAACTCATTAATTACTGAGGAAACATTTCAAAGGAAGTTCTAAAGAGCTACTCATTTACATGCAATAAATGAATGGCAAAATAAAATTTTCAAATAAGTACAAAATGAACTTTTCTACTGGACAATTACCAATTTTGTCCCATTGGACACAAGTAATTTGCTTTCCATAGATAAGAAGAATTTGCATTATAACTAGTGTTCTTTAACTTATAGAATTGAAAGTTTGAAAGATGGAAATAGTGGATGCTTGAGCTAGGAAGGGCATTCACTAGTCTTTTTTCTTTTTAAGTTCACTTCAAAGGTTTTTACTATTTTTTCCTGTAAAGTGTGGTCTTGCTTTAAACTTCCCTGATCCCTAGTAGTATTGAACCTTTTTCATGTATTTATTTTTTTAATTTTATATATGTATTTTTTAGTTATAGGTAGACACAGTATCTGTATTTTATATTTTATATGGTGCTGAGAAGCAAACCCAGTGCCTCATGCATGCTAAGTGAGCACTCTACCTCTGAGTCACAACCCAGCCCCTCATGTGTTTATTGGTTCAGTACATGTGTTGTGTGTGAAATGCCTCTTGTCTTTTGTGCAACTTTCCATGTTTTTTTTGGTGTATGTTAATGCATTATATGTTTTTAATAATAATTCAGTATAGATTGCATGTACTATGAACATTTTTCTTAGTTTATAACATCTTTTTTTCTTTTGAGGTGTTTTTTTTTTTTTTTTTGAAGGGGTAGTACTGGAGATTGAACCCAGGGGTGCTTTATCATTTAGGCTACATCCCCAGTCCTTTTTCTATTTTATTTTGAGCAAAGCCTCACTTAGGGCTTTGCTAAGTTGTGGAGGCTGACCTCGAGCTTGTGATCCTCCTGCCTCAGCCTCCCGAGTCACTGAGATTTCAGGGATGTGCCACCACCACACCTGGCCAAGGTGTTTTTTAAATGAACAAATGGCTCTTAGTTTTAATATAGTCAAACTTATCTTAAGAAATGTTTCTTTTTAAAGCATTATTTATTATTTATTTATTTTTAGTTGTTAATGTACCTTTATTTATTTATATGTGGTGCTGAGAGACCCCAGTGCCTCACACATGCTAGGCAAGAGCTCTACCACTGAGCCACAACCCCAGATCCAAGAAATATTTCTTTACTCTTTTTTTTAATATTTATTTTTTAGTTTTCGGCGGACGCAACATCTTTGTTGGTATGTGGTGCTGAGGATCGAACCTGGGCTGCACGTATGCCAGGCCAGCGCGCTACCGCTTGAGCCACATCCCCAGCCCAAATCTTTATTTATTTTTATGTGGTACTGAGGATCGAACCCCGTTCCTCTCACATACAAGGCGGGCCCTCTACCACTGAGCTACAGCCCCAGCCCCGTTTCTTTGCTCTTTTGGCCTTTTTTACTCCAAGGTCAAAAGATAACTCTTTTAACCATTAARCTTTTAAAGTTGTTTTGACACTAAGAACCTTACTCTATCTGATATTGAATTTTTCATGTGGTATGATATTAGTATTTAGTTTAATTTTTGTTTTGAAATGGGATCTCACTGCGAGGCTGTATTTGAACTCTTGAGCTTAAGTGATCAGTCACAGCCTCCTGAGTAATAGGAGCTATAGGTGTGTGCTGCTGTGCCTGGCCCAAATTTCACTTAAAAAAACAAACAAACAAAAAACCTACATCTTTTGCTCTGGAGATGGCCCAAATTCTGCCTTGAATTTGCCTGTGCTTTTGTAAGTAAACACACACACATACACACACAGGGTGTGTGTATGTTATGGACGGAATGTTTGAGTCTCTGAAAGTTCATATGTTTAAGCCCTAACTCCCGGTAAGATAATATTTGGGGATGGAACATTCAGAAGACAACTGGTGTTAGAGGAGATCATGAAGATGGAGTCTGGTCCAATGGGATTCACCCTCTTATATGAAGAGACACCAGGAAGTTTGCTTTCCTTCTTTCCCTGTCATGTGTGGCCGCAGTGTGAAGGTGGCCATCTGCAAGCCAGAAAGAGAGACTTCACTAAAACCTGTCACCTTATCTTGGACGTTTTGCCTCCAGAAATGCAGGAAAATATATTTCTGTTGTTTAAGCTGCATGGACTATGGTATTTTGTTATGATAGCCCAAGCAGACTGATATGTATTGTTTTACATTTATTCTTTGGTATTTGAAGTTTTCTTTATTAGACACTGCTTGTGCAGAGAGTCAGGAATAAGAATTAGAGAGCCCAGGCTTCAGAGAGCCTACATCAAAATGCCTTACCCCACACAGCATTACCCTCGGCCACTTTTAAAACTTTCTTTTCATGAAAAATCTGCTTTATGAGGAGGCACCTCAGATTATGGTTGCAAAAATCCTAGGGTTTGTGTTGGAGGAGAGAGGGATGCAAAGCAGCAGTCAGGAAAGATTAGCATATAGCCAGCTGTTTTACTCAGCTCCTAATTTTCTTGAAGATTCAAAGAGACCAGACATTTGAGTAGTATATATATGGGGCCAAGTTGTATGAACACGGGTGCTGAGTCACAAGAGAAGCAAAACAGAACTTCTGGAGTTCTTCTGGTTTGTTCCGCCATAGTGTTGCAGGGCTGCCTCTTGCCTCAGGCCAGAACCACCATCTCACACATAGCATATCAACATGTATCCTAGATGCCCCAGTAATATCTCATAGTTCTCTCTTTCTTTCTTATGTACTTTCTCCAGGGACAGTAGTCTGGGAGGGCCTCAGTCTCCTGAGTAGTCTAGACTACAGGAGCACCACAACCAGCTGTCAAAGGGTTTTTTATTTTGTTATTTTAATGATGCTTCAATTTGAACCCAACTCTACTCCTGAGTTACATTTGCAGCCACTTTTTTCCCTCTTTCCACATTTTTCATTGGTGCATTATAGTTGTACATAATGATGGGGTTTGTTGTTAACATATCAGTATAAACACAATACATAACAATATATTTTGGCCATTATCACTCCCCAGTCCTTTTAGTTTTATTTGAGGCAGGCTATCACTAAGTTGCCGAGGCTGGCCTTGAACTTAGTGATCCTCCTGCCTTAACCTCCTTAGTAGCTACCACACCCCTCTATTAAAGGGTTTTTATAGAGTTATTGAATGATTTTAAATAGGATTAAAGTGGCTATTAATTTATTTTAGGATGGTTTTTAGAGTAGAATTGAAGATATTTTGGAAGCTGGGTGTGGTGCTGTTTGCCTCTAAACTCAGCTACTTGGGAAGCTAAGACAGGAGGATCACAAGTTTGAGGTCAGCCTGGGCAACTTAGTGAGACCCTGTCTCAAGAAAAGGGTAGTGGGCTGTGAATATAGCTCAATGGTAGAGCATCCTTGGGTTCAATTCTCAATGCCACACATACACACAAAAGATATTTTACAATGGAGAGATCATTCAGAAGACTATGTAGTCCAGACAGGATATAACTTGAAGAAGACTAGACTCTAGAGAGTACAGATTGTGGTAGAATCTATAGAAATTGACCATTGATAAGATCTTGCTGTGGTGAAGGGAGGAAAGAGGGGGCAGGAATCAAGGATGATTCCCAGGTTGGGCATTTGAGTGGATAGTGGGGCTATTTATTTCCAGCTCATGTTTAGGTATAGAAGGAACTTGTAGGGAGGAAGGCAGGATTTTGAAATGTTTAGTTTGAGTTTTCTCTGGCATAGTCAAGTGGAGATGGATAGATCTGTCTGTAGTCTTGGAGGGAGGCGGGAGAGTTAGAGCGAGGAAGAGAGGGAGAGATATTGAGCTTAATAGAATTTCAGGAGTGGTTGAAGAAAGACTTGAATCAAGATTGAGGACAAAAATCTCTGGGGACATCTAGATTTACTGGACATATGTAGAAAAGTGCACTGGGAAAAAGATCAGGAAGAAGAAATCGCAAGAGAAACTGTCAGCAAAGGATTTTACAGCAGCAGCCTTGGCTTCATCTCTACCTTCAGACCAGACTTTCCATTTTGCATCCTGTATTTGATCTTTGTCCTCAGACCTTTCCTTACTGAGCATTCTCTGCTGGGAGAGACTGTATATGAGAAATAGTTTATTTTTGAACCCAGCAGTTGCTGGCTCTTTTTTATTTCCTCTAAATTCTGCTTGAAAACAAGTACTTTATTCTTTAGCTCATCTCCATTTGCCCCTTTTGCTTTACATATAAAAGAAACCAGTTGACACTTTGGACATTCTGCTTAGAAATTACCTTAGTTAGAAGTAACAATTCATTTTCAACATTTTCTGTTTTCTGTCTTACCATAGGCAGTGGTTTTGCTAAGTTTTTTGCCATTTCATAACAAGGGTCTTTTTCCACCTTCTGAGATGACATTTTACTTGCTCTTAAGGCCTTTCCAGTAGCCTCCTCAAGGCTTACTGGGTTTTTGCTGGTGAGATCCTTCAGGCCCTTCCAGCTTGTACCCACAATCCAGTCTTGAAACTAGGGTTACATGTTTTAGATTTTTGTTATGTCATACCCCAGTTTTAGGTATTATATTCTATTCTGGCAATTGTTGCAGTGTAACAAGCCACCCCAAACCTAGTACCAGAACCTGCATGGCTTCTCCTAGCTTAGTCTTGGAAGTCACTCAGTTCACTTCCATCACCTTCTCTTGTCGTGAGCAAGTAAATGCCAACCTGGATGCAAGGAGAAGGGGACTTAGACTCCACATGTTTATGGAGGAGTGGTAAATTCACATTATAGAAGATTATGTGGGATGGAAGATATTTTTGCAGCATCTTTGAAAAATAGTCTGTGACAGATGGATAAAATAAAATGCACAGGATTACAAAGGAAACCCATTATATTAAAATATTGTTATTAAGCTAATTATGATCAAGTGTATATGCTTATTKAAAATAATATACAAGTTATAGTGGCATATAATATAACTATAGTAAATTAGAGGTTGGAGAAAATAATTTATAATTTTTATTTTCCCATCAAAGTTTTTTTTCTAAATTCTATCCACAAATCCAATGGTCTCAGGGCTGGGGCTGTAGCTCAATTGGTAGAGCGTTTGCCTTGCATGTATGAGGCACTGGGTTAAATCCTCAGCACCACAAAAAAAAAAAAAAAAAAAAAGTAAATAAAATAAAGGTATTGTGTCCATTTACAACTAAAAAAAAATTCAATGACCTGTAGATTAAAAACCTTTGTTAGTGTAATTGTGTTTGCAGAAGTCATATTGCTGTGGATTAGGAAGTATATTTGTGTGTGTGGGGGGGAAGGAGGGTGAGAAGGCAGAGCCTATCAGGGAGGCCACCATAGGGTAAGTTCAACATATGAGCATTTATTTTCTTTTAAGATAAGGGTTTAATTTTTTTTTTTTAGATAGGGAAAGATACTAATGAGGAAATTTGAAGATATAGGAAAGATAAAGGGTATTTGATGTTTCTGAGAAGGCAGGAGAGAGTCTAGTCTGGAGGTTAAGAGGAAGCATTAATCTTGGACAGGAGGCAAGGCTAGAGGAAAGGAATAATGGAAGGATGTTTGTGAGTGCTGTTCATTTATTACATCATGTGGCACTCTGAGAAAAATGTAGGCATAACACATTTCAACACAGGAGCAAGAGAGACCAGGACAAATCTCCGAGAATATTGAAGCAGAGTGCTGGACAATATGAAACTGTTGGGAAGCGAATTGGGGGGCGGGGGAAGGTAATGAAATAGAGACCAAAAAATAATATAATGTAAGTGGTTGGGTGATTGGATGCAGAAGACAAGCTTTTCCTAGTTTGTAGTTTTTTGTTTTTAATACCTTTCTTAGACCAATCATTTTCCTTCCCATGAGTATTGATACAAAGAACAGTGGAATGAAAATAAAATGTTTTTATATATTTTGACTTCTGCCTTTTTAGATTTAGCTTTTCTTAAGTGTCTTTTGAGTATACATGAGTAATACTTGGAATGCCATTGCCACACAAAAATGTAAAAGCATTGGAGTTTCTTTTTCATGGTTATTTGGGTTGATTTTTTWTTTATTTATTTATTTATTTATTTTTATTTGTATATGGACTCAATTCCTTTTTGTTTTTATTTGGTGCTAGGATTGAACCTAGGGCCTCACACTTAAGGGGCATGTGTTCTACCACTGAGCTACAACTCCAGCCCTATTTGGTTGATGTTGAAAAGCACTACCTGTTTTTGTTGCTTCCACACTTACAACTGGACGGAATTGGCCTCAAAGGGTTCATAGTTTTCTTTGTCATTAGCCAACAGATGCTTGCTACAGTGTTTTGCTCACTGTCTGTTTAATGTGAGGGCATCTGTGTATGCTAATGAGAAGAGCAGTACTATACAGTCACTTTTTTAAAAAATAATAAATAACTGCCTTTAGTTTACACACAGATCCTGTACTAAGTGATCTAATTTGTGTTTAAGCAAGCTGTTATTAACATCTGGAAAACCTAACTTCAAATTGCTTTGACTGTCTAATGAATCACTTTGCTAAGTCTCTCATATAATGTAACTACTTTGTATCTGTTGAAGAATTGCTTCATATCTTCTTGAAATGTTAAAAAATTTTAAACTTCAGGTCACTACTATATATCATAAATGACCTTAGATTTCTATATATAAATACTAATTAAGCACATATATGATATGAAATTTTTAATTTTTTTTTAGGGGGTGTGTACCAGGGATTGACCTCAGAGATACTAGGTCACTGAGCCACATCCCCATCCCTATTTTGTATTTTATTTAGAGACAAGGTCTCACTGAGTTGCTTAGCGCCTTGCTTTTGCTGAGGCTGGCTTTGATCTTGTGATCCTCCTGCCTCAGCCTCCTGAGCTGCTGGGATTACATGCCTGTAGCACTGCGCATGGCATGAAATTGTTAATTCTTAAATTATGTCTATATTTAAAAATTTTTAATAAAATATATTATTTTAAATTGTGGTTAAATGTCTACGCTCTCTCCACGGCCCCCATCTCCTATTAGCAGCTATTTTTATCTTTTCTTTCAGCTTAACTGTATCATGCCTGCCTGAGAAACAGTCCTGGGAGTGGGCTCAGGGTCTTTTGAGCAGGAAGTCCTAGGTTTCCAGGTAGGTGGAAAGCAGTTCCTAGAGGTGAGGTGCAGTGAGGCATTTCCTATTGGCCCTTTGCACTGTTTACCACTTGGGGAGAGGTGTGGCCACAGGAGGACCAAATCTTATCACCTGTTCTAAGAACAGTAGTGATTTTAATAATCTTTTAATGGGTCCTCTAGACCTAATTGTCCCCAACTTTCTTCTTTAAAGTCTATTCTTTTGTTGTATGGCTGGAAAGATTTCTCTAAAACTCCTGCTCAAAACCTTTCTGTGCTTCACAATTTTCATAGAGATTTAAGTTCAAACTTCTTCACATGACCTTTTAAAGGTTCTTTGTGCCTTGTTCTGACCACTGCTTACTTTTTCATTCTTATCTGTTTTTTGAACTCTGTTGTTATTATCCCAGGTACTCTTTCTTACCTCTGCAATTTTGCACACAATTATTAATTAATGTATATTTTCTTGATGCATTCAAATGCATGTCATGTCTTATAAATGTGACTATTATTTAATGCTTTATTGTTCAGTTGGCTCATCTCCATCTGAATCCATTAAATCAGTTTCCCAGCCTACCTGTCCCTTCAGCTGCATAATAATGCAATATTGGTAACATAGTTTTTATTTGAAAGTGAATCATCTTGACTTAAGTAGGAAGAACTGATTGACCTAATTGCAGAAGGGTTAGCATTAAAATGAAAAAAAAAGGAACAATTTAAAGAACTGATTGTTAAGTATGTGAATATGAGAATCATTAATGATAGAAATAATGGATTACTTGATTATGAAAAAACATCTAGCAACTCAGTAACTCAGCTGTCCTATCATAAAATAATCTGCATACAAACAGAATAAAAATAATTTTGCTATCTTATTCTAAGCCAACATTAATTGAAAATTTAATTTAGGAACTATGCTAAAAAACTTATTTTGGGGAACTGAATTTACTTTTGCTATGAACATTTTTATGTTAAGCTGTTTGATTCTGTTAAATATGGCATGAAAATATATCTTTATATGTGACTGAAAAATTATTATTATTATTATTATTATTACTATATTTATTTTTTAGTTTCTGTGGACACAACATCTTTATTTTATTTTTGTGTGGTGCTGAGGATTGAACCCAGCGCCCCATGCATGCCAGGTGAGCGTGCTACCACTTGAACCACATCCCCAGCCTGTGACTGAAAAATTATTAACTAAAGAAAAGGATGACTTGCTAAGACATCCTTTTTAAAATATTAATCAAATTATGAGTAAGAAAGGCTTTCAATCTCTATCTTAAGAGATATAGTATTGTCATAGGTTTTAGTCATTGTTCTAGTTAGGCTGGCTAGTGTTAGCACCTTAGGTTTTCTTATGAGTCAAGAAGTATTTTATTGGGAAGATCAATTGGATTTTATATATCAAATTGCTTTATAGGTATTCTACATGTAGATATTAAGCAAGATTTTAGTCCTTTTTCTGCCAGCTTTTTAACTCTAGGCTGGTGACTTCCTTTCCTGAGCTTTTATTTATAGGTAAGTACCATTTACATTGAGTTCAGCTCTTATAAATTATGAACATTATTATTTTTATTTTTTTCTTTCATCTGCTTACCTTCATTACCCTTGCTGTTGTTATTATTATCCATTAATCCTCAACTATTTTATTTAATTTGGTAATTACTATCAATTTTGTAAGGGCCAGTAGTATTAGCCTCATTTTACTGATAAGGAAAACTGAGGCTAAGAGAGTTGCACAGTTGATTACTGCTAGAGGTAGGATTCCAATTCAGGTTTCTGGTGCCAAGGTTCTTTTTTTGAAAAGCATGTGGCTGAAGTAAAGACATATTGCCATGTACCTCAGTTAAAGAAAACTTTTGTTCTCTGTTGTTTTCCCTTTGCTTTTTGAAAAATCTCTGGACTATCTGAAATATGTAGGTCAAGCAAGAATTAAGACAAACACATCCAGAAATATTCATTTTTATCTAGAGTTCACTTATGAGTGTTATGCTTTACTATTTCTATTGAAAACTTCAGACACCCCCTTGTCCAGGCATGCCAGCCCTAGATATTGACCTTACTTAGAACACCATTGCTTTTGGTGTGATTGACAGTGCTGATTTAGGCAGAACTCTGATGCTGATCCTTTCTGATTTAAAAACTTCTGTCTTGGTGCCATTTTTTAAAACCCATGTTTCTCTTTTTGTCTGTTGAAAGTTTCCTTTTAGACAAGTTTCATTACTTGTTCATTTCCTTTTAATCCCATGAATGATCATTGGTCATAGTTTAATTTTTTTCCCCCAGTGATGACTTTGAAATGGCATGGCACTTTGAGATCTCATTTATTGCCCTTGTTGAAAACACTGGAGTGCACAAAACTGCAGCTACCTTGGCCTTTTCTGTGAATATATCAAGTTCATTGTGGCTATAGGGTCTTCTAACTTGTCTCTTTGTGGGGAATAGTCTCTACCCAGCCTGCTGGTTTGCTAGATTCTTCTTTTTCCTCCTTCTCCCCTTCCTCCTCCTCCTCCTCTTCCTTTTTCTTTTCTTCTTTCTTCATGGTACTGGCAATTGAACCCAGAGGCACTCTACCACTGAACTACCTCCTCATTCCTTATTTATTTATTTATTTATCTATTTATTTATTTATTTATGACTGGGTCTTGCTGAGTTGCTCAGGCTGGCTTTGAACTTGTCATTCTCCTGCCTTAGAATCCTGAATCATGCTAGATAATATTTCTCTGTAATATTAAAGTCTCAGCATAAATGCCCCCTCTCAAAGAGATTTCTTTGACAATTCATTATAGATTAGTGATTTCTCAACCCTCTTAATTACATGACTGTTTTGTCTTCTTCTTAGCACATAATCACTAATTGATATTTATTTCTCATTCATCTCCTCCAATGGGGAAAAGTGACAGTCTGTCTTATTTACTGCTGAATCCCCAGAACTTGGAATAGTGTTTGCCATAGTAGGCATTCCATTAAATATTTGTCGAGTAACCAAACAAATGAAAAATTTTTCTATTGGCAACTCATAATTTWAAAAAATTATTTCTTTTGTTTCTTTTCCTTATTTCTCTTTCTATTCACCCCTGCCTTTTTTTGTAAGTTAGGAAGGTATAATTAATGTTTTTGTAACTAATATTTATGTATTTAAAAAAAATTTTTTTTCCTGTCCTGTGCCCTAGTAGGATTCTTTTGGAGGAAGGGGAAAACCTTGTAATCTCAAAGGTGTGATTATTTCAGTCTATCTACTGCTTGCCAGGTAGGTGCCAGAGCTGGTACAGTCTAGTCATAGAAGCAATTAACAGATAGGAAAGCTGGCTCCTAACAGCTGTTGCAGTCCTGCTTGAGTTGGCCTCTCCCCCAAGGGACCGTCAATGTCTATCTAGGAAAATGAAATTGCCTTCTCATAAGCATTTTTCTCTAGAACAAAAACAAATTCTAGGTTTATAAAATGAGTTAAGARTGTGTCAACAGAATAGAGCAGGGTAATGACCTGCTGCTGCAATTTGAATTTGAGTCAAGGCAGCAATGTTTATTTTCAGAAGAGACAACATGGAAATGGTGGCACTTTTAGTTGTATTGAAATGACTTTCTTATGCTGGAAGAGTGGATTTAATAACTTAATTATTATTGTTGAGGAAAGTGGCAATCGCATAAAATATAATTTTTGGCCCTCAGAACTTTGGTTTATGTGATTGTCCTTGAGTCCTTGATTCTTCAATTCACTTTATGGAATGGGGGAAGCATTTTTGAATAAATGCTACTTGATTTCTTTTCATTCTTCCAGTTGTTAATTCATTCAGTATGGTTTCTTTTCAACCATGACCTTAACCATGGTTATGTGCCATAATCAGTGTATACACAAAGGCTTTTAAAAATGGATTTAAATGAGTTTTATATTAATACTCTGTCAGTTCTGTGTTGTATATTGATATACCTTAATGATATTGGTCTTTCTTGATCCTTTTTGGAAGTCTTATTTGATGTGATTCCCAGTCTGAGCTAGTTGTGAAATATGTTTCCTTTGAAAGTTGCCTTCTAATTAGTATCCTCTTCTTTAGAACCCCTGGACTTTCATGAAACTCAAAGAATTTGTGTCACTACATTCTGCTTTAAGCATTTTGTTACAAAAATTAAGAGAAGCTCCATGCAAAATGAGGGTATTAACTTTTTGAAGGAATGAGATGTGCCTTAAAAAGCTATCAGGTTGTCTAATGAAGAATAAAAAATCACATAATCATCTAAGTTGATTAAAAATATTTTACAAGATGTAACACCCTTTTATGATAAAAAGTCAACAAACTAGAAATAGAGGAGAACTACCTTAACATTATAAAGGCCATTTATGAAAAGCCCACAGCTGACCTTATACTCAATGTGAAAAACTGTAAGATTTTCCTCTAACCCCAAGAACAAAGCAAGAATTCCCATTCTTGCTACTTCTGTTTAACATAGTATTGGAAGTCCTAGCCAGAGCAATTAGAAAAAGAAAAAGAAAAAAAGTTATCCAAATTAGAAAGGAAAAAGTAAAAGTATCTGTTTGCAGATGAGATGATCTTATATGTAGAAAACTCTAAAGATCACACCAAAAAAATGGTTGGAACTAATAAATTCAGCAAAGTTCATGGATACAAAATCAACCCTCAAAAATTTCTATATAATAACAATGAGCAGTCCAAAAAATTAAATAAGATGTAAATAAGTGGAAACACATATTTACGGATTGAAAAACATAACATTCTTAAGATACTACCCAAAGCAATTTATAAATTTCATTCCTTTAAAATCCAAATGACTTTTTTGTAGAAGCAGAAAGATTTATCCTTATGAAATCTCAAGAGATCCCAAATAGCCAAAAAAATATTGAAAAAAGATAAAGTTGGAAGTCTCACACTTCCATATTTCAAAACTTGAAAGAACGAACAAGGCTCGTCCCTGGAGAAAATACCCATTTATTGAGGAACAGCTCTGCATATTTTTAGAGCTGGGGGTGATTTGAGAGTTAATGACAGTTTAATGGTT